CTAAACATTACTCAATATTCATCCGACACTTACTCAAAATTCGCCCAAAATTCACTCAACATTCACTCAACTTCGACCAACATGTTGAGTGAATGTTGGTCGAATTTTGAGTGATATTCACTAAACGTTCACTGAACATTCATCCAACATTTACTCAACATTCTCTCAAAATTCGCCAAACATTCACTAAACATTCACTCAGTGTTCACTCAAGATTTACCCAACATTCAACATTCAGTCAAAATTAGTCCAATATTCACTAAACGTTCGCTCAACATTCACCCAACATCCACGCAACATTCATTCAATATTCACTCAACATTTATCCAGCATTCACCCAACAATCATTCAATATTCACCCAACATTCACCCAGCGCTTGCCCAACATTCACTCAACATTCACCCAACAATCACCCTACATTCAACATTCACCCAACATTCACTCAACATTCACTAAACATTCACTAAACATTCGTCCAACATTCACCCAATATTCGCCCAACATTCACCCAACATTCACCCAACATTCACTCAACATTCACCCAACATTCACTCAACATTCGCTCAAAATTCAACCAATATTCACTCAAAATTCAACCAACATTCACTCAACATTCGCCCAACATTCACTCAGAATTCACTCAACATTCACCCAACATTCACCCAACATTCACCCAATATTCACTCAACATTCACTCAACATTCACTTAACATTCACTTAACATTCACCCAACATTCACTCAACATTCACTCAATATTCACTCAACATTCACCCAACATTCACCCAACATTCACTTAACATTCACTTAACATTCACCCAGCATTCACTCAACATTCACTTAACATTCACCCAACATTCACCCAACATTCACTTAACATTAACTCAACATTCACCCAACATTCACTTAACATTCAAGCAACATTCACTCAACATTCACCCAACATTCACTCAACATTCACCCAACTTTCACTCAACATTCACCCAACATTCACCCAACATTCACCCAACATTCACCCAACATTCACTCAACATTCACTCAACATTCACTCAATATTCGCCCACCATTCACTCAACATTTACTCACATTCACTGAACATTCACCCAACATTCACCCAACATTCACTTAACATTCACTCAGCATTCACCCAACATTCACTCAACATTTACTCACATTCACTCAATATTCACTCAACATTCACTCAACATTCACTCAACATTCACCCAACATTCATCCAACATTCACTCAACATTCACTCAACATCCACTCAACATTCACCCAACATTCACCCAACATTCACCCAACATTCACCCAACATTCACTCAACATTCACTCAACATTCACCCAACATTCACCCAACATTCACTTAACATTAACCCAACATTCACCCAACATTCACTTAACATTCACGCAACATTCACCCAACATTCACCCAACATTCACTCAACATTTACCCAACATTCCCTCAACATTCACCCAACATTCACCCAACATTCACCCAACATTCACCCAACATTCACTTAACATTAACCCAACATTCATCCAACATTAACGCAACATTCACCCAACATTCACCCAACATTCACTCAACATTCACTCAACATTCACCCAACATTCACCCAACATTCACTTAACATTAACTCAACATTCACCCAACATTCACTTAACATTCACTTAACATTCACCCAACATTCACTCAACATTCACCCAACATTCACTCAACATTCACCCAATATTCACTCAACATTCACCCAACATTCACCCAACATTCACTTAACATTAACCCAACATTCACCTAACATTCACTTAACATTCACTTAACATTCACCCAACATTCACTCAACATTCACCCAACATTCACTCAACATTCACCCAATATTCACCCAACATTCACCCAACATTCACCCAACATTCACTTAACATTCACCCAACATTCACCCAAGATTCATCCAGCATTCTCTGAACATTCACCCAATATTCACCTAACATTCATTCAACATTCGCCCAACATTCACTCATCATTCACCCAACATTCACCCAACATTCACTTAACATTCACCCAACATTCACTTAACATTCACGCAACATTCGCCCAACATTCACTCAACATTCACCCAACATTCACTTAACATTCACTTAACATTCGCCCAACATTCACTCAATATTCACCCAACATTCACTTAACATTCATCCAACATTCGCCCAACATTCACTCAACATTCACCCAACATTCACCCAACATTCGTTTAACATTCACCCAACATTCACCCAACATTCACTTAACATTCACCAACATTCCCCACATCATTACATCACCAACATTCGCCCACACCCAACATTCACCCAACATTCACCCAACATTCACCAGGTGGTGGAAGTAGAGGTGGAGCTAACCACTAGCCACCTGGGATTCTTCGAGTTCCGTCTGTGTGTGAACAACGCCCCGGACAAGTACATAGAACAGGAGTGCCTGGACCAGCACCTCCTCCAGCTTGCTGATGGCACTGGCACTCGCTTCCCCATACTATACCTACACGTGAGTACCAGTGCCTCTGACGAGTACGCACTCTCTGTAGAGCTTTAAGCTTTTTGTAAAGCTCTGGGTAACGCTTTGAGGTTATGAAGCGCTGGCTAGTGCTTTAAAGTCATTATAAAGCTCTAGGTCTTTTATACGGTATAAAGCTCCTTGGAGTACTTTAATTTCAAGTAAAGCTCTGGGTAGTCTATAAGGTCGTTATAAAGCTCTATGTAGTGCTTCAAAAGGTCATTATAAAGCTCATTCTTGAACTTTAAGGTCATTATAAAGCTCTGGATAGTGCTTTAAGGTCATTATAAAGCTCTGGGTAGTGCTATACGCTCATTATAAAGCTCTGGGTTGTACTCTAAGGTTATTATTAAGCTCTGTGTAGTATTTTAATATCAGTATAAAGCTCCTTGTAGAACTTTAAGATCATGATAAAGCTTTAAGATAATTTTAAAGCTCTTTATAGTGCTTTGGGGTCATTATAAAGCTCTGTGTAGTGATTTAGTGTCATTATAAAGCTCTGGGTAGTGCTTTAACGTTATTTTAAAGCTCTATATTCAGCCCAGTGTAGAGCTTTATTAAGGTCATTATAAAGCTATGAGAGAGCCACAGAATTTGGTTAACACTAGCATATCTGATGTTATCCTGACGCCAAATGACTTCGAACAGGCGATAAATGACATGCCCATGCACTCTGCCCCAGGGCCAGACTCATGAAACTCCGTGTTCATCAAGGACTGCATGAAGCCCCTTTCACGAGCTTTTCCATCCTATGGAGAGGGAGCATGGACAGAGGGTCGTCCCACAGTTACTAAAAACAACAGACATAGCCCCACTCCACAAAGGGGGCGGTAAAGCAATAGCAAAGAACTACAGACCGATAGCGCTAACATCCCATATCATAAAATCTTTCAAAGGGTCCTAAGAAGCAAGATCACCATCCATCTAGATACCCATCAATTACACAACCCAGGGCAACATGGGTTTAGAGCAGGTTGCTCCTGTCTGTCCCAACTACTGGATCACTACGACAAGGTCCTAGATGCACTAGAAGACAAAAAGAATGCAGATGTAATATATACAGACTTGGCAAAAGCCTTCGACAAATGTGACCATGGCATAATAGCGCACAAAATGCGTGCTAAAGGAATAACAGGAAAAGTTGGTAGATGGATCTATAATTTTCTCACAAACAGAACACAAAGAGTAGTAGTCAACAGAGGAAAGCCTGAGGCGGCTACGGTGAAAAGCTCTATTCCACAAGGCACAGTACTCTCTCCCATCTTGTTTCTCATCCTCATATTTGACATAGACAAGGATGTCAGCCACAGCACCGTGTCTTCCTTTGCAGATGACACCCGAATCTGCATGACAGTGTCTTCCATTGCAGACACTGCAAGGTTCCAGGCGGACATCAACCAAATCTTTCAATGGGCTGCAGAAAACAATATGAAGTTCAACGATGAGAAATTTCAATTACTCAGATATGGTAAAAATGAGGAAATTAAAACTTCATCAGAGTACAAAATAAATTCCGGCCACAAAATAGAGCAAAAAACCAACGTCAAAGACCTGGGAGTGATCATGTCGGAGGATCTCACCTTCAAGGACCATAACATTGTATCAATCGCATCTGCTAGAAAAATGACAGGATGGATAATAAGAACTTCAAAACTATGGATGCCAAGCCCATGATGACACTCTTCAGGTAGCTTGTTCTATCTAGGCTGGAATATTGCTGCACACTAACAGCACCTTTCATGGCAGGTGATATTGCTGACCTAGAAAATGTACAGAGAACCTTCACGGCACGCATAACGGAGATAAAACACCTCAATTACTGGGAGCGTTTGAAGTTGCTGAACCTGTACTCCCTGGAACGCAGGCGGGAGAGATACATAATTATATACACCTGGAAAATCCTAGAGGGATTAGTACCGAACTTGCACACGAAAATCACTCACAACGAAAGCAAAAGACTCGGCAGACAATGCAACATCCTCCAGTGAAAAGCAGGGGTGTCACTAGCACGTTAAGAGACAATACAATAAGGTCAGGGGCCCGAGACTGTTCAACTGCCTCCCAGCATACATAAGGGGGGATTACCAACAGATCCCTGGCTGTCTTCAAGCAGGCACTGGACAAGCACCTAAAGTCGGTACCTGACCAGCCGGGCTGTGGTTCGTACGTTGGATTGCGTGCAGCCATCAGTAACAGCCTGGTTGATCAGGCTCTGATCCACCATGAGGCCTGGTCACAGACCGGGCCGCGGGTGTTATATCTTACGTTATCCTGTGTTATCTTGTGCTGTGTTGTATTGTATCTCATCCTGTGTTATCCTGTTATATCTTATGTTAATTTGGGCTGTGTTATATATGTTATCTTGGGCCGTGTTATCATATTTTACCTTATCCTGTGTTATCATACCTTGTTACATCATATAGTCCTGTCGTTTACTGTTATCTTGTTATCTGCAGGATGCCGTCAACCTGACGATTCCTGTTATCCTGCCGGAGGACCTGACGTGTACACAGTGTGTGTTCCAGTGGCACTACAACTGTGGTGAGTATACACGCGTGTACACACTCACATACACGAACGCACGTGTACACACACGAATACACGTGTATACACACATGTAATAAGCAAAACACACACAACACACACTTATTAGTGATCCGTGAAGAGGCGGGGCCAGGAGCTATGACTCGACCCTTGCAACCACAAACAGGTGAGTACACATGCTAACACTGCACGCACACGCACACACACACACACACACACACACACACACACACACACACACACACACACACACACACACACACACACACTCGACCCCAGCAACCTCAACTAGGTGAGTACACACACACAGGGTGTTGGTGGACACACTGGCTGAGGTGGCAAGAAGAGCTCACTCGAGCAGAGCAAAGTTACTGGTAATGGGCGATTTCAACCACAGGGAGATCGACTGGGAAAACCTGGAGCCACATGGGGGTCCCGAAACATGGAGAGCCAAGATGATGGATGTTTTACTTGAAAACCTCATGCATCAACATGTCAGGGACACAACCAGAGAGAGAGGGGAGGATGAGCCAGCAAGACTGGATCTTGTGTTCACCCTGAGCAGTTCAGACATTGAGGACATCACTTACGAGAGGCCCCTTGGAGCTAGCGATCACGTGGTTCTGAGTTTTGATTATATAGTAGAGTTACAAGTGGAGAAGGTAACAGGAACTGAAGGGGACAGGCCAAACTATAAAAGGGGGGACTACACAGGTATGAGAAACTTCCTGCAGGAGGTTCAGTGGGACAGATAAATGGTAGGAAAATCAGTAAACGAGATGATGGAATATGTGGCAACAAAGTGCAAGGAGGCAGAGGAAAGGTTTGTTCCCAATGGAAACAGAAATAATAGGAAGACCAAAACGAGTCCTTGGTTTATCCGAAGGTGTAGGGAGGCAAAAACTAAGTGCAACAGAGAATGGAAAAGGTACAGGAGGCATAGGTCCCAGGAAAACAAGGAGATTAGTAGAAGAGCCAGAAACGAGTATGCACAGATAAGGAGGGAGGCCCAGCGACAGTATGAAAACGACATAGAATCGAAAGTCAAATCCGACCCGAAACTGCTGTATAGCCACATTAGGAGGAAGACAACAGTCAAGGACCAGGTGATAAGGCTGAGGAAAGAAGGTGGAGAACTCACAAGAAACGATCAAGAGGTATGTGAGGAGCTCAACACGAGATTTAAAGAAGTATTTACAGTAGAGACAGGAAGGACTCTGGGGGGACAGACCAGATGGGGACACCAGCAAGGAATACACCAACAAGTGTTGGACGACATACATACAGATGAGGAGGAGGTGAAGAAACTGCTAAGGGACATCGATACCTCAAAGGCAATGGGACCGGACAACATCTCCCCATGGATCCTTAGAGGGGGAGCAGATATGTTGTGCATGCCACTTACCACAATCTTCAACACGTCCCTGGAAACTGGGCAACTACCTGAGGTAAGGAAGACGGCAAATGTAGTTCCCATTTTTAAAAAAGGAGACAGAAAAGAGGCACTAAACTATAGACCAGTGTCATTGACGTGTATAGTATGCAAAGTTATAGAGAAGATTATCAGGAGGAGAGTGGTGGAGCACCTGGAACGGAACAAGAGTATAAATGCCAACCAGCACAGATTCATGGAAGGCAAATCCTGTGTCACAAACCTTCTGGAGTTTTATGATAAAATAACAGAAGACACGAGAGAGAGGGGTGGGTTGATTGCATATTCTTGGACTGCAAGAAGGCCTTTGACACAGTTCCTCACAAGAGATTAGTGCAGAAGCTAGAGCATCAGGCGCATATAACAGGAAGGGCACTGCAATGGATCAGAGAATACCTGACAGCGAGGCAACAACGAGTCATGGTACGTAATGATGTATTACAGTGGGCACCTGTGACGAGCGGGGTCCCACAGGGGTCGGTCCTAGGACCAGTGCTATTTTTGGTATATGTGAACGACATGATGGAAGGGTTAGACTCAGAAGTGTCCCTGTTTGCAGATGATGTGAAGTTAATGAGGAGAATTAAATCAGATGAGGACCAGGCAGGACTTCAAAGAGACCTGGACAGACTGGACACCTGGTCCAGCTAATGGCTTCTCGAATTTAATCCTGCCAAATGCAAAGTCATGAAGATAGGGGAAGGGCACAGAAGACCCCAGACAGAGTATAGGCTAGGTGGCCAAAGACTGCAAACCTCACTCAAGGAGAAAGATCTTGGGGTGAGTATAACACCGAGCATGTCTCCAGAAGCACACATCAATCAGATAACTGCTGCAGCATATGGGCGCCTGGCATACCTGAGAACAGCATTCCGATACTTTAGTAAGGAATCGTTCAAGACACTGTACACCGTGTATGTCAGGCCCATACTGGAGTATGCAGCACCTGTTTGGAACCTGCACTTGATAAAACACTTCAAGAAACTAGAGAAAGTACAAAGGTTTGCGACAAGGTTAGTTCCAGAGCTAAGGGGAATGTCCTATGAAGAAAGATTAAGGGAAATCGGCCTGATGACACTGGAGGACAGGAGGGTCAGGGGAGACGTGATAACGACATATAAAATTCTGCGTGGAATAGACAAGGTGGACAAAGACAGGATGTTCCAGGGAGGGGACACAGAAACAAGAGGCCACAATTGGAAGCTGAAGACACAAATGAGTCAGAGAGATATTAGGAAGTATTTCTTCAGTCATAGAGTTGTCAGGCAGTGGAATAGCCTAGAAAATGACGTAGTGGAGGCAGGAACCATACACAGTTTTAAGACGAGGTTTGATAAAGCTCATGGAGTGGGGAGAGAGAGGGCCCAGTAGCAACCGGTGAAGAGGCAGGGCCAGGAGCTAAGACTCGACCCCTGCAACCACAAATAGGTGAGTACAAATAGGTGAGGTGAGTACACAGTGGGTGCAGACGTGGGTGCACAAGGCTCCAAGAACCTTAGTGTTTTTAAGGCGTGCAGTAACGGCTAGCAGTAATCAGTGGTAGTGACAAAGTCAGTGAACAATCCTAGGAGTGATAACTAAAATTAGTAGTTAAAAAAAAGTCGAGGGGAAGCCTGAAATCATTAATAATTCAAAGTGCCAAACCGTTGTGGGTCTACTAGGCACTGTTGCCACACAGATTCAAACATACAAAGATCAAAGTGAGTGTGGAAGCGGGTGTTCAAGAATTACCAGTGTTTGGTTAACAAGTGAAATGTGGGGCACCGTACAGTGAGAGTGAAAAGTTAATAAGCAAAAGGAGAAAGGAAAAATAAAATATACAACAAGGGAAGGTGGTAGCAGTAGGCCTGCTGAAGCAGTGACGTCACAACAAGTTGTGTGCCATTATACATATAAAGTGAAGTGTATATAATGTGAAGTGTGTATACTATCATAAGTGAAAAGTGAAATCACGTGAGGAACGCGGGATGTATGAGCATATATGGTTATAAACATCACGGGTGAAGGATCACCAAAATAGTGATTTAAGGCCTATGTACGACGACTATATCATCAGCATCTGGCAACTTGTCACAGCACTGCTGCCAGTGCAAGTATCACTCACCTATTGTGGTTTGCATGTTACAGGCTCTGGCTTCTGGCCTTGCATCACTGTTAGATACTGGGTCACTCACTCCTGCAAGCTATTACCAGAATTAGAGTAGAAATAGCATACATAAAGTGAAGATAGTGTTGCCGAGTGCGAGGTGTAGAGCAGACTAGCGAGGGGTAACGTAGCATTACTACCGGTAGTTATTAGCAGTATGAATACTTAGGAAGCTAGGAAGTCCTCTCTCAATGTGAACAAGGAATAGGATAATAGCCAGCCATAATTGATACTTAAATCCAGAAAGGGCAATAAGTGGAGAGAGTAGCATTACTAGGACAGACAGCTGGGACTAAATTTGAGCCTACACGACAGAGGTATAACAGATATTTCAACCACACCACCTACCCCCCATAACCATCCCCCCTCACACACACACACAAGGGCAGACACTCATAGAAGCTTTAGACCCTAGTAACAATTTCCGCTTTTTATAACCCAGAATTACTGGTATGTATTAGCAGTAACTCCCCCTCACACCTCCCCCATACACACGAACACACACATATACACACATACACACATACACCTGCACTAGGACAAAATGGTAACTAACTAGGTGAATACACACACACACACATACACACACACACACACACTACACATGTACACACACAACACATAAAACACACATACACACACACACACACACCACACACACATACACACACACACACACACACACACACACACACACACACACACACACACATACACACACACACATGTACACACACACACATACACACACACATACACACACACACAACACACACTGTGTGTGTGTGTGTCTCGACCCCTGAAACCACAACTAGGTGAGTACACACAGCTGATCCTTGGAATCTGACTGCGTCCCCTCACCCCCCCACACACCTTTCCCTCCCCCACAGACCTTTCCCCTCCCCGCTGTTGCCTTCCCCTCCCTCCTCCCTCCAAATCTTTTCCTTCCCTCGCATTTCTCTCTCTCATACCTTTTTCCCTCCCCTTCCCCAAACTCTCTCTCCTCTCTCCTCTCTCTCCCCCTCCTCTCTCCTCTCTCTCTCTCTCTCTCTCTCTCTCTCTCTCTCTCCCCTCTCTCTCACTCCCTTTTCTCTCCCCCTCCTCTCCCCTCCTCTCCTCCTCTCCCCTCTCTCTCTCTCCCTCTCTCCCCTCACTCCCATAACCCTATCTCTCACCCTCCTCTCTCCCCTATAGCTTCTCTCTCCATCTCTCCATTTCTCTCCCCTCATAGCCTTTTTCCCTCACCCTCCTTTCTCCCTCTCTCTTTCTCTCCCTCTCCCTCTCCCTCTCTTTCTCCCTCTCTCTAACCCTTTCTCCCCCCCTCACATTTTTCTCTCTCCCCCCCTTGGTCTTATCCCTCACCCCCAAATACTCTCTCCTCTCTCTACCTTTTTTCTACCCTTTCTCTCTCCTCCTCTC